AATTCCCACAGTGAGAACACCCTCCAGAGACAACGGTAGGTTGTTGTGCACCTCCTTTTTTCCAAACATCCCGATTTGGTGTTCCCCTTATCGTCAAACGGAGTCGAGAGTCTGCCCCCTCACGTCGAGAGATCATAGCCCCACCCGAGACTCCATGTTCTCTAGATGAGAGCATCACCATTTGTCGAATATCTTCCCGTCTCACCCGAGCATATGCTTACTTTACAGTGGGGAATGGTTGCATCTGTAGTACATCGACTCTAACCTTGTCGAGTCGATCATCCAGTCCATCAAGGAAGAGATACACTCGATCTTCTTGAACTGTCGAGTTATATCTCGCAATATCATCAGCACACGTCATGGGATTTGGCCTGCGAAAATCGATTTCTCTCCAGAGAGCCTGAAGATTGTTATAGTAGGTTTCAATTGGTCCTCCGTTCTGCTTTAATCGCGACACCTGCCGCTTCAGATCATATACTTGGGACGTATCAGTCCCATCAAAATAGGTTGTTGCTACCGACTCCCATACTGCTTTTGCGGTTGGGAATCTTATAAAATTTCCGATCAACGCGGGTTCCATTGAGTTTATGAGCCAACCTTTCACGGTGGCATCTTCAATTTTCCACTTCTGGAGAGCAGGGTCAGTTTGGGCCGGTTGTGGAATGTCACCAGTCAAGTATCCCAATTTATCTTTGCCGGAGACGTTCATCTCGACAACTTGGGACCACAAGCCATAGTTCATGCCGTTGAACTTAATGGCAATTGTAGGGGCAGAGTTTTCTGTCGATGATGGTGGATTCTGTTGTGCTACAAGCTGCTTCATCGCAGCCGTAAGATTCTCAAGGATCATTGTGGCTGTCGATCCTTCACTAGATGGTGTTGTAACTATTTCCCGTCCCTCCATGGAACACGGCAGGTCCTAGGATTGATGCTCTGATACCATGAGGAAAAGAATTCGTTCTTGTTCTTCTATTCCAATGACTGAATAGAGATACATATATATGTTTGGCCTAAATTTCCTCCTACAAATATGGTAACTGGATATACACAAATAACAAAACGATTTCTTCTTATTTTGGTGCTAATCTATTCCTAAAATATAACAACCAACTAATTAACAGCTCACGCCAACAGTTATTTATCACTCAACATTTGCACGTGCACATAATTATCAGCTTGTTCATGTTGTCGATGGTTAAATGACTTGCGATCAAACGTCCAATGATCTTTTTAAGTATGTTAGCTTCTAAAGATTCCAAGTTGATGAAAGATAGATCATGATATCTCCAAGTTTTCATGAAATCCTCACATATTAGACTTGTTCACCTCTTATTGATATCTTCATCAATCTTCGCCGAACTCTTGAAGATGGCACCTCGATTTTACACTAAAAAGATAAAATTGTCCTCGATAATTCAATTGCAATTTAAAGTGATGGATTCTCTTATAATTCAGTATATTACAAATCGATTTAATGTATACCTATCTTGTAGGCGTAGTTCAAGGAGAATATGAAGATCAAAAGCCTTGTCCAACAACTATATTTTTTTGGCGATGCTATTTCCAACCTTTATACGACTGATTCCACCTAGCAATTACCGGAAATACTAGGCCCACTAAAGGCACAAAGATAGAGGGTAAGTTGTTAAGAGTTTTCATAGAATGGGTCTCTTGATTTTACACTAAAAGGACAAGATTGTGTGACCCCCCCTCCCCCAGTTCCTTTTTTTTTTTTTCTAAATTTTTCTATTTCCATTTAGAATTTGGTTGCCGTTATTAAGCATTTCAAATATTTTTTCGTTTTTAAAGAATTTTTTTAGTGTATTTTTAGATTTTCCTATAATGTTTTACATGATCAATGTAAAAGTATCTTGCCAATTGTAAGGAAAAAAAATCTTTTGATATAGTAAAAAAACTTAAAAGTCTCACTTCATTTTTGCTCTTATAACAACTTATCTATTGTTTTTCCTTCTTATCTCAAAAGCTTACTTCCTTGGTAAATTTTTTTATTTTTAATTTCACTAGTTTAAAAAAAACACACACATATATATATATATATATATATATATATATATCAAATCTCTTTATTTACTACAATGAAGAATTTATCTTTTTTCCCAACTATTGACGAGATGCTTTCACATGAAGCACGTCAGAATATCAAGGAATACACTATCATCACCATGCACAATAAGGTGTCTTGATATTTTTCCACAAACACTTCATGAATGGTATACGTTACAATGAGATTTCACTGGCAATTCTAAAGAAAAAAATCATCATTTGATGTAATTTATTAATTTAATTAAATTTTATCTTTTAAAGTTTGACGTTGGAGGATATAATTGTGATTTTATTTATATTCAAAAAAGGTTTTTTTTTTGGCTTCATTCAATCATCCCATTACATGTGTATGTGTGCATATATAAGAAAACCAATAAAAATGGGTTAAATGGGGTTATGCACAACAAAAGTTAAAATTTATAAACAAGTGATTGTTTTAAAAAATTATATATATTATTTTGTTTTCTAGATTCTACTTGACTATTTGTCCATAAATTTGATTGACAATGTAGAATAGAATTTGATATCTCGGAAATTTCTCGTTTCAACAAAACTATTTTGTACGGAAGTAAATACTAATAATGAAAAAAATATAGTGCCTTTCATATATATGAGATACCTATAATAACCAAAAACTAAACATGTGAAATTCTTATAAAAAAATTTATAAAAAGAGGAAAGTAAATAAATTTGGGGTTACCACGTTGAGTTGCAATTTGATGACCAAGGGTAATTTTGTCTTTTTGTTGAAAATTGGATGAATTTAGTCATAGGGAGTGGAAATAGCGTCGTCCTATTATTAAAGGAGCAATATGATCCTTATTTCCAGTCGAAGAAAATTTTCTAGAGGGTTACAAGTTATGTCATGTTGGTGTAGTTACAATTATGGACATCACTCTCATTTAATTTTGGTTAAGTTTGGGTATGGATGATACCCATGACTTGTAACCACTATTAAATGTTAGGCTAGAATAAAATATTGCATATGTTTGTGACTTACTGTTCAGAAGCGTGAGCTGAGAAAATTCCTTAAATGGACTTTTTTCCAAAATTGATAATTTATGAAATTTTGCATTTTTGCAAATTTCGAATAGCTTATATTATGACTTTTTTTTTGTGACTTATCACTCAGAAGTGTGAGCTAAGAAAATTCGTTAAATGGGCTTTGCAAAACCGATAACTTAAGAAAATATTACATTTTTGCAAAACTGATAACATATGTTATTTTTTCTAGCAAAAAAAATTGTAACTTTTTTTTCTTACTGTAATATCTAAACAATAGCATTTGATTGCAATTTTTTAAAATTTTAGAACTCAATTGCAACAAATTTTAGGACTTGATTGCACTTTTTGAAAGTTTTAAAACTTAATTACACTTTCGTGACAAGTTTTAGGATTTTCGGTTCACTTATCCCTAGTGTCTAAATAATGGTACTATAATTTCTTCTTTCAACTCAATTGTAACGAGTTTTAGGACTTTCAACTTTCGTCGACGTCGTGGTGGTGGGTTGATGTAGTCCTGCTTAGGATATGCGACAAGGATGTGACCTTCACGATTCTCCATTTGTCTACCTGTTAAGAGAGATCAGAGTTTGATAAAAAAAGAAAGAAAGAAAGAAAGAGATAAGAGAGAAAGAAGAATATTAAGGAAAGTGGATATAAAACTCACAATAAAAGAAATAGGAAATCAATAAAAAAATAGACAAATGGATGCTAAAAAGTGGGACCACAAAGGGTATTATCGTCAGAATATTTTGTTAAGGAATATTTTAGCTATGGAGGGAGTGAAAAAAGGGGTTAATTATAAAAAAAGCACTAACTTTATGTCGAGGAATAATTTTGGCCCGAACTTTATTTTGTTCCATAAAAAAACATCGACTTTAGGTCGAGGGACAATTATGGCCCGAACTTTTTCTTGTCCCGTAAAAAAGCACCAACTTTAGGTCAAGGGACAATTCTGGCCCGAACTTTTTTTTGTCTCGTAAAAAAGCACCAACTTTCACTTAAATCCCAAATCTGGCCCTTATTGACTTAAAACCATTGATTTTCCAACTTGACTATTCCACCTTAGCAATAAATCCACGTGACTTGCTGACTGGATTTAAAGCATTATTCATTGTCTTATTCTCTAAACCACAGCTTGAAGAATAACGGTGAAATTGTTCGTCTCCTTCACTTCACCGGCAAATCAAAAATATCTCCAGATTGAATTTTTCTGGCCAAACTTCGTCATTTTGTTGTAATCTGAAGCTGTAGACCACCGTCCGTCGACAGACGCCATGGAAGAGATTCGCCAGGCTCACCACCATAACTTTTTTTCTCAAAAGGGTAACTTTAGACAGAAAGTTAATGGGGGGCCAATTTTGGGTTTAAATGAAAGTTGGTGCTTTTTTACGAGACAAAAAAAAGTTCGGGCCAGAATTGTCCTTCGACCTAAAGTTGGTGCTTTTTTATGGGACAAAAAAAAGTTCGGGCCAGAATTATCCCTCGACCTAAAGTTGGTGCTTTTTTATGGGATAAAAAAAAGTTCGGGCCAGAATTGTCTTGGTGCTTTTTTTTTGGAATTAACCCGTGAAAAAAGTATTATCCTTTTTTAAATAGGATACATTTTATAAAACTATTAATTTCGGAAGGAATTGTAATCTGAAGTGCGAAGTTAAAGATCCCTGGCCCCCCGCCGGCCCCCGGTTACGCCGGCGAACTGAGTTAGACCAGTGAAAAGACGAGATTACCCACCGCCCCCGATGCGCAGCGGCCCCCGATGCGCGCGTGATTAAGCCCAACCACCAGACCCAATTCCGTCCACTCGGCGTTTCTTACAATTAAAATTTTCAGGACAATCCCGTCGTCGTCCCGTCCCGTCCCGTCTTCAACAGGCACGCACGGGTTGCGAAACTCCTCTTTGGTTTTTAACTCGGCGACTTCCGTCAAATCTTTTTCACTTCCGCACTTTCTTTCTCTCTGGTCTCTCAAAATTTTCCCGAGAAAATATGCAGAGCCCCAGCCGGACCGAGGCCGAACGCCTCCTCGGCGTCGCCGAGAAGCTCCTCATGGCCCGCGACCTCAGCGGGTCCAAGGACTTCGCCATCCTGGCCCAGGAGACGGAGCCCCTCCTCGACGGCTCCGACCAGATCCTGGCCATCGTCGAGGTCCTCCTCGCCACCGAGAAGCGCGTCAACAACCACCACGACTGGTACGCCATCCTCCAGATCGGCCGCAGATCCGATGACCACGACCTCGTCAAGCGCCAGTACCGCCGCCTCGCCCTCCTCCTCCACCCGGACAAGAACAAGTACCCCTACGCCGATCAGGCCTTCCGCTTCGTCGCCGGCGCCTGGGCCGTCCTCTCCGACCCCGGCAAGAAGTCCCTCTACGACAAGGAATTCAACCTGTTCTCCAAGGTCGATCTGTCGCCGGCGGCGGCGGCGGCCGCTGGCGCGAAGCTGCCCGTGCGGAGGGGCGGCCAGCTGAGCCGGGGCTTCGGCCAGCAGGAGACGGTGGGCGGCAGCGGCAGCGGGAGCGGGCACGGCAAGGGGGGTGAGAAGCCGGCGGGAGCTGCGGCGAGGTCGGCCAGCTTCTGGACCGCGTGCCCGTACTGTTACGTGGTGTACGAGTACCCTGCGGTGTACGAGGAGTGTTGCTTGAGGTGCGAGAGCTGCGAGAGGGCGTTCCACGCGGTGGCGATCGAGGGGCCGCCGCCCGTGGTGCCCGGGAAAGAGGCGTACCACTGCTGCTGGGCGGTGTTCCCTTTAGGGTTCACGATCGGGAAGTTCGAGGGCGGAGATAAGGTCGGACCCATCGAGGGCGGGCTGCCGAATTGGTTCCCGCAGCCGTCGGCAGATAAGAATGCCGGGATGGCTCTGCAGCAGCAGCAGCAGCCAGCGGCCCCAGCGCCGGGTGGGGGTGTGCCGAAGAAGAAGAGGGGGAGGCCGCGGAAGAACCCGTTGTAATGTGGACTGTGGCAAACGTGGTTATCCCTCTAAAGTAAAAGCAGAGTAATTTGCAATGCTTCCGATGGCTGGTTGAATCTCGGAGTACAGTAAGAGATCATCAGTTTCAAAACTGGGCTTTTGTGGAAATGGGGATGGTCGAGAGCTCGAGAGAGGTGAAGTAGATAATCACAATGTTCGAGGCCGAGGAGGGTTTCATCAGATGATCTGAGCAGAGATTGAGGTAATGGCGCGAGACAAACTTTAAGCAGGTTACATTGTTGTTGTTTGTTAGTTGTCTTCTGTTCTTGTTTGTAGAATATTGGGCATGTTTATGTATGCTGTCCTGCACCGCAGTTGGGTAATGTAAACATTGTAGCTTAAGATCTTTGATCGATGTTCTTGAAAAGTAAGTAGGACCTCTTTGGCCATGGCGGTTGATTTCCTCTTGAACACAATCACAATCATCTTGGATTTCGAAGTTCGCCGATTGCTATGTTGTTTGCAGTCATAGGTGGGACTTGTCATTGAACTGTTTTCTGCTTCAGCTAGGTTGATAGTTTGGTTATAAGATCCATGCTCACTCCTCTAACCTTGGTTGAACACTCATGCAACCTAGTCTTGGCCCATCTTTGGACTCCAACTGCGTTCAATACTTTAGTTTCGATATTCTTCATTTGTTATGCCTCTGGTGTATTCTGCGAATCTCCCTCTCCCTCTCTCGGATAGAGGCACGCGCAAGCCGCAACGAATAAACGTATGCTATGATGCTAATTCCATCACATCGGCAATTCGCGAGTGTGCGCCCGCTTTTGCAGTGCGGTTTTGCTGGAGTTCCTTGAAGAGATTGGAGGCAGAGCGGAATCAAGCTTGGTTTTAAAAGAAGAACCTTGGCGATGGCCACAAATGCAGGAGTGCCGGTTCAGATGCCCTTTGTGTTCCTTGCATAGATATGAAGGAGAAAGAAGAAGAACATAAGCCAGTCCAAGTTGACCTCTCGGGCATGGAGGTACACTTTATCGAAATCTCGAAGCTTTTGAATTGTCCCCCTGATGCTTGCCCTTAGCATGTGTTGCTTGACGAAACCTACGTCCGACCTACGTTCTCCGCACGTTCTTTGGATTCGCCATTGTTCAGTGATCGCGGCAAGACAATCTCCAGAAGCGAAGGCTTTTTGGACGTACAATTTGATGCGGCAGGCAATTAAATTTTTACTGTCTTCTGTAGTTGCTTTCTTGAGTGGCAGCCTGCCTTTTCTGATTTACAGACGAAAAAGTAACTGCAGTAATCGCTTCTTTGAGGTCATCACTCTGTTTTCTTGCGATTTCATTGGATTGGAGAATGTGTACTGAAAAATCACAGCACTTTAATTTGACGCCGTATATTATACGGTGCCAAAGGTGCATTGCATCGTAAAAGTGGTGAAAAATGGTTTTAACGGTTCTGCATGTTCCAGATGAAACTAATCTCTAAAGAGTACACGAGGTAATTGCACAAGATGGTGATCATTATGTGGTAGTGTTTACTTATGAACCAATTAACAGGACGTTTATCCATCTGACGTGAGATTTCAGGACGTTTCCAAACTCTCCCACTTAAAGAATTGACATGCTCGTTGGTGTTGATTTGTATGACCTAACAAATCTTTCCATGTTTGATATGTGTGATCCACGGGTAGCCTAGAACTCGAAGACTGCAAAGTAGGTGCCAATAGTACTCTTTCCACGCTGGCATACACTGCAACACTGCAAAGTAGGTGCCAATAGTACTCTTTCCACACTGGCATACACTGCAACTTGAATATTCACAGGATTTGTAGAATTGAGCAGATCGGCTGCACTATGCCTCCTCCCCAAAGCATAAAAAGTCGAGCCACCAGGAGCATAGGCAGCAGATACATGTCCACCAATTTATCCACTACCATAAGCAAGAGCAGTTTCAGAGGCAGAGGAAGGAGCATGAGCAGTTTCAGGCTCAGTTGTAAATCGTTCGGTTCCACAACCTACAATATGAAATGCTATGGACCCGAAACCGGGCCATGAGACCCGTAGAGTACCCTCTCAGACCAGCCCCTGCCTATAGTTGTGGAATCCATCGAACCCCCTCCCACTAGAATAGTTTTATTAAAACTCCTTGCTACGGGAGAAATCCACTCCTATGGTTGGATGGAGACATGGCAACGGTAGTTGTTGGACCACTAGTGAATTTATTGAGCACATATGCCCCTAAACTTGCATAATCTAAGGCCAAGTGGTTCCTGCCAACATTTTGGTAGTCGAGAAGCCCCTCTTGTTTAAGTTGTTCCTATTACTTCGGTATGTCTTTACCGCAATAGGAGTCATCGTCTGCAGAATCAACAGAATCGATTGAACCCAACTGACTCAGCATCTTCTGGGTCTACTAGTTCCGGACCTGGAGATGCTCCTTATGTTAGTGCTAGTGATGCTACTCTAGCTCACAATCATGAGTAACTTAACCAATTGACTCACCAACCTTACCAACTTCTGGCTCATCCACTAACTCAACCAAATCAACCGGTTCATATATATACTGCAAATGAATATGAATTATTAGAATTATCATATCCTGGGCGAAGTAACGAGCACTTGACCTTACTTATATTATAAAGGAGAGGAAATTCGATACAGCTTGGTGTTCTAACTCAACCAAATCAACCGTTCATATATATACGCAAATGAATATGAATTATTAGAATTATCATATCTGGCGAGTAACGAGCACTTGACCTTACTTATATTATAAAGGGAGAGGAAATTCGATACAGACTGGTTGGTGTTCCAGAATGAGATAGTAGGCAACATCTCGCATCTCAAGCATCAAGAGTCTTGACCCTTTCGTCATCATCCTAGAAGACTCTTAAGAGGTGCACCTTGTTTGTGTCCTCTCGTCCCGCGATCTCTCCTTATCCTCGTGGGTCGGGTATGCGTCTAGTCCATCCGGAAAGCACACGTCTACTCTTACGAAGTGCTAAGTGCGCCTTAAAATTGCGCACCCGCATGCGGGTATTGTGGGGTTTAGCCCACTCACCCATTTTTCTCCATTTACAATAAATGATAATACCTTAACTTATAAATAGACCAAAATTTTCATTTCTTTCCTATGTGGGACAAGGAAAGAGCCTTATTTGTTTGTTTTACAAATAAACATCAACAACGAACACCATCGAAGGCCTGGTCGACCCTTGCTCAGGTGGTGAATGTTGGCACTCGCACAGCATGACCACCAGCTGAGATCGCCGGCGGTTGCGGGAGGGTCATCGGTAGGGGTGCAAATGGGCCAAGCCTTGAGGGTTGGCCTGATCAGAGTAGACCGAACTTGACTTTTCTTGGTCTAGTTTGTTGGCCCAGTCTGGAAAAAGAAAAAAGGCCTCGACCGAAATTACTCGGTTCTGTCTGGGCTGCCTCGGTCTATAGCTTGTAATTTCTTGCTTTTAATTTTTTTTCAAAACTATTCTTTGTTGTCGGATTTAAAACCATACGTACAATCATCAAATAACTGTCATAAATTTGCTTAAAATTCATAAATTTCATCAAAAGAAACGAAGTTCGTACATCTCAACTTAACATATCATAACTTTGAAAGCTTTTGTTGATGGTTAATATTTTATTTTTGTGACTTTGTTGAGGTTAAACATAGATAATAAATGACTAACCTTTTAATTTTAATTAATTTTTCTAATTTTAGACATACTTTCCATTTTTAAAAATATTTCTATGCTTGGCCGAGTCGAGCCCGAGCATCTTAGACCCGAAAACCCGGACCGCCTCGAGCGGAATGAGAATTTAAAAATCCAACCCGAGGAACAGGTTGATCTTACTCGGACCAAAAATTCAGATCAATCCAGATGTTCGAAACTCGATTATAGTTTTTTATTTTGTAAATCTTAAAAATTCTAAACCTAATCTTTTTGGCTATAATTAAATAATAGAGAACAGGTTGATCTTACTCAGACCCGAAAATTCAGATCAATCCAGATGTTCGAAAACTTTTTTTCGTTATAGTTTTTTTTTTTCCCCGTAAATCTTAGGACTTCCGGCGGAGGACTTCCACTTAACCTAATTCTTTTTGGCTATATATTAAATAATAAGTTTGGCATGCAGTCTCGAACCATAGACTGCAGACACCACTTGTGATATCCACGTCAAGCCCTACCGATTTCGCTCCCTTGAGATATATTTATTTTCTTCTTCCTTCTCTCCTGCAAAATAATGCTATTCACAAATAAAAAGGCATTTCCCTTCATCACGCAAGCCCCAAAAAAATAAAATAATAATAATAATAATTGGGATAGTGACAAAGATACTCGCAAGACTGGAAAGTGACAAGGCAATGACCACGATCATCTCCAATAAACTTGGATAGTCATCCATGTCCGCTCATTGGATAAGCTCTCCATGTAACCCAAAATCGCATTCCTTCTCCTAACTTTTCCCCCTCACGAAGGCAGAGCAACGACAGAGCTTGCAACTTCATTCAGTTCATACGCAGAAATGATGGCATGGTGCAGTCGTGAGTCCTCCTCCTTCCTCCCTGATCTGAACATATTTGATCTTTTTGCTTGATCGTGAAAAAGTTTTGGGACCCATTAATCAAAGAATGGTTTTTTGTTCAGGTTACAGAGTCCGCTGGATCAATCTTAACCGTTGCTTCACTAGCTTGACCCCGAAATGGAACGATGTCAGTGAAGTGAGGGGCTTCTTCTCTGTGTTTTCTTGCATTTTCCATCTTGAGCTTTTGGTCTCTTTTTGCCTTGTTGAAGGTTAACTTGTAATCGAGCCGTGTCTGATTATTATGCAGGTCATGTTGGAGAGCTTTGAGGACTCCCAGATCACTTTGGCTCCTTCGAAAGAGTGAGTTAGTTCATGTGTACTTGCTCCTCTTATTTGAGTTGGTCATTGCTGATCACATGCTCGAGCCAGCTTTAAGTTCTAATGTTCAGGTCTATGACAAGCTAGTTAGCTGCAATGCGAGATTTTTCTTTCTGTTGGTTGCCTTTTCACATGTTTTGAGTAACCTTTGTTGTATCTATTCTGTAGTTCTTACCATAAAAATAAAGTGTCTGCAGTTCTTGAGCAATTACAGTCGAATAATTGAAGTAAGAGCCAAAAACTACTATTTGGAGTCGATTAAGTTTGATTTGGTATTTCTTAATTCTGGTCTTCAGAGGAGCTAGGGTAGATCGGCCTTTCTTCTCTCGACTCTCACTTTCATACCTCAGTGCCGCGTTTTTATGGGATGCGGTTTCCAAACCCTTCATACGTGTGTAGTCCGGGACAGAATGTGAGTGGTCGTGACCGGTGATACAACATTTAATCACCTTGTCAACCGACAGCCTGTTTGTGTGATGACCATATAATGTTGTCTTGCTGTTCCAAGGGTTGTCCTCGTTTATGGTTTGCACATTGGTCATTGCAATCTAACTCGAAGCCTTATATTCCAGATGGAAGGTTGCATATTTTGTTGTAGCCTTTACAATAAAAAATGGCTGACAATCTCATTCGTCGTAGGTCGTAGCAATCAAGTCATATTGACGTGGATTAGTTAATATATCTCTCCTCTGCGAAAAACTGAGAATGCAATCACCTTAAGGTCCAAAAGAATTGGTTATCAGTGTGATCTACAAAACATGTGGTAATTGCAAATTTTACATGGAATGCTGAAAATCATGACCTGTATCTGTACAGGAGAAAAGAGGTAATCCCGTCGGATGAAATTGGTTCACCGAGAATTACTCACCAACAAACAAGATTTACTGGAAAGGATCTGGCAAAAGCAAAAGGTGATGGTAGCTCAGACATGTTCGATGAGATCAGACAGAGATTTTTAGAGTTCAAGAACAACAAATTCTTGTACGCGGCAGTTATTTCGAGCCAATGGCCTTTTTCTATTTTGTTCTCTTGAGGAGTCTTTTACTTTGTGTTTGTTAGGTAACTCATCATCTTGAACAGGAAGGAGGCGGCGCATTTTCAGAATCTTGCAAGAGCTCAGTCGCCAAAGGTGAATAAAAGGAACTGATAGTGTTCATATTTCTGATGCATGACAAAATTGGACCTTCTCTTATGCCTCTTTCAGAATCCAAAGCCAACACTGCTTGATTTTGGTGTAAACCAACTTTGCAGTCTCACTGAGACTAAAATTGTGCTTGGGACAGTTCATGGTGATTGCTTGTGTGGACTCTCGGGTGTGCCCGACTAATGTACTCGGACTCCAACCAGGAGAGGCCTTCATGGTGCGTAATGTCGCAAATCTTGTTCCGGCAATCGAGGTTCGCTCTCATCTCTTGTGCATTTTTATGCTCTAAGTAAGCGCTTTTGTTTTTCTTCGCCTCTTAGGAAAGTAATTTCATGTTTCTGCAGTTTGGAACATCGGAAACTGGCGCTGCTCTTGAATTTGCAGTGAAAGCTCTTGAAGTAAGCCTACCTCTAGAATACTGTACTCATGTTCTTTTCTCGGTTGTGGAACTTGTGTCTTTGAGGTGATGTCTCCATTTGAGCAAATTCATCGATATGCAAACTTCCTCCGATTAGATAGATGCTCATTCAACATCTGGGACTTTGGTTACATATGAGTTTTCAGAGAGTGTCGCTCTATAAGTAGGACAAACAATTTGACAGATGATTGGGATTGCCGTGCGCATTTAGTTACTTGACTTGATCACTCACCTATCGCTTGTTCCCCTGCTCTCATACACCTACTGCACACGGTTCTTTTTATGGATTTACACTTAAAAATCTGTCAGTTTCGTTTCAGGTAGAGAATATATTAGTCATAGGCCATAGTCGATGTGCTGGAATTGAAGCCCTCATGGGCATGCAGGATTCGAATCCAAGGTACTGCTAGCTTCCTTTTCTGTAGAAGTTAAAGTAAAGGCTCACGACAATCGCCTTTTAATCCTAGCTTCGATGCATCATAATCCATTCTCGTATATGATGCACATCTGCAGAAATTATGTAGAGAGATGGGTCATCAATGGAAAAGCTGCCAAGCTACGAACAGAAGCGACCGCACCACACCTTAGCTTTGACCAGCAATGCATACATTGTGAAAAGGTGAACTCAAATTGCTACTTTTGGATGTCAAACAAGTTGATGTTGGCAAGGTTTCTTTCATGAAGATGCAGTTCCCTGCTACAATGAAGTTTATCAGCAGACCTATATGCTTCATATATGAACCCACTGATATTGCAGGAATCTGTCACTCAGTCCCTGAACAACTTGCTTACATATCCATGGATAAAAGAAAGAGTCGAGGAAGGACTGCTATCCATCAGCGGAGGGTACTATGATTTTGCCGACTGCACATTTGAGAAATGGACTCTCGACATCGAAAGAAGCGGCGCCACTGGAGGGAAGAGATATCCGACGAAAGATCACCAGTTCTGGTGCTGAGATATCTTCTCCAATGTGTCCTGGAAATTGCAATGCGCAATGCCGAGTGTATGTAAATGTACTATGTAGTATAGTTGAAATGTGGCTGTATTGGAATAAAAAATTAAACACAACAAATATGGTAATAGAAGTCTTCAGCAGCTTTCATTCTTAAATTCGGTGGAGAACATGCAGCCCACCGAAAATCATGGCTTTCTTGATTTCCTTTCGTCCTCTATCATTTATTGATTTGAGGTGTTGTCATCAAATATCAATTTTACTGTTATTTCAACATGCTGCACAGATGGTTGGAACTTGATAAAATAGGATGCAAAGAAAATTGACTGTGTAGTGATAAGAGGGATGCCAATGAGCCGATCCGTTTACCTGTAAATTGTAAGGTGAAGTCATTTAAGGAACTCAAAAGCACACAATCTTTGCAGTCTCAATTTCTAGCTCAGTGTCCAGATTAGTCCTTGAATATCTTGTGACATATTTGATCATAGTGAAAGAATTACGACGTAACTGGAAGAGGTGTTAAAAGAGGGTAATGCATTGTTTACAATGTCTTAAGTTCTCCAAAAAGACATACTTCGTAATACCCAAAATTTCACAATTTTGCTGAGGGGAAGCTTGTCAAAATTGTACTATCTTGACAAATACCCGATGATGATCTCACCTTCAAATCGATACGTGTTCCGTCACTGGCGAATCGGGTCTTCTTTTTCCTGGCAAAAGTACGGACGATAAAATAATTTTGGTTTTTGTATAATTCATGATAAAGCTACAAGACTTGTGTCATTGATGGTAAATTGGCAAATCACATCTTTCTTGAAGCAGAAGCAATTCAAGAAAACAGTGCGTTTTGACCAAAAAAAAAAATTTCTTGGGGGGTAAACAAGCGAACTTCAGCCAAAATTAGGGGCCAAAATGAAAATGACAACGAGAGAGAAGGACACGGCTGCGCGACGACGACGACAAATACAAACTCAAATCGAAAGGTCGAACGGAAGGAAAATTCGCAGGAGCGAACGGAGCTCTGGCACTCCGCGAAGACGAAGATCGATCATGATCTCGCAGTTCTTCGTGCTCTCGCAGCGAGGCGACAACATAGTCTTCCGCGACTGTGAGTAACTCTCTCCGTCTCGGCCATGGATCTAGCTCCGATTCTACTAGTTGCTTTCGACCCCAGTACGTTGGATTCAGTAGTCTTGCGCATAGAGCGAAGAAGTGTTCGCGAGTTCTCCAATTGCGATCCCGAATGCCTCGCGTGTGTGCCCAATTGCTTGTTTCCGATGTTGATGGGTTTTCGTCTCCTGTGCGAAAAATCTGATTTTGGATCGCGTGAATTTAGCGTAACTAGATGGGGCCGCATTTTCAGTGTTTCGGTTTTGTTTGCGAATTTGTGTGACCTGAAAGGAACCATTCGATTGGTTTAGATCGCGGAGAAGTGCAGAAGGGGAGCACCGAGACGTTCTTTCGCAAGGTGAAGTTCTGGAAGGAGGATGGGCAAGAGGAGGCACAAGCGCCGCCTGTCTTTGTAGGTATTCTCGTCTCTTCGCCGGTGAATTCGGGTCGCTCTAGTTATATTTTTACTCAGTTTATGTGTCGAGAGGATGTTGTTAGCACTGTCTGGGAGGATTTCTTGCTGATACTGTTGTCGCGTTTATGTGGGTTTCATTCGTTTGTTTCGCGAGAGTTGGCGGCGTGTTATATGCATAGAGCATTGCAGGAAAACCCCGAGTTTGGTCCCGTGTACTATCGTTTGACCTCAAGATCTTTTTGGTGTAGAATGTGGACGGTGTAAACTACTTTCACGTGAAGGTGGCTGGCTTGTTGTTTGTCGCAACCACGAGAGTCAATGTATCTCCTTCTCTCGTCTTGGAGCTTCTTCAGAGGATCGCACGTGTCATCAAGGATTACCTCGGTGTTCTTAGTGAGGATTCGCTGCGGAAAAACTTTGTGCTTGTTTATGAGTTGCTTGATGAGGTCATTGTAAGTTCCCCTAATTCTTTTCCTCGTTTTTGGTTCTCTGTCTTGTTCTCATGTTAAGAAACCCTTTTCCTGTGCCTCTCTTCTGTTGATGGTGTAATGGACATAGCTTAAGGTGCACTACTAGATGGAACAGTTACCTTTAACTATAATCATCGCTTTCATTTATTTAGGCCAAGTTTTTTAAGCTTAAAGATCTTTCTAATGACAAGCTAGAAGGTATTTTGAAAACAATATCTTACATGCAAGTTTTAGGGCTCGGTTGTTATTGGGTAAATTGATCTCTAATTTACAGCAGATTACTATGCATTAGCTTAAGGCTTTTCTTTGATATTTGAGTAAACTGAAGCATATATATTATTCATTGATGGCAAGGTAGGACTATTTGCTTGAATATGATTTCTAACCGCTGTTTATCCTAGGATTTTGGTTATGTACAAACAACATCGACTGAAGTACTGAAATCCTATATATTTAACGAGCCAATTGCTGTGGACACTGCTCGTCTGCCTCCTCTTGGTCCAGCTGCCATATTCATGGTATCGTGTTTCTAATAGTTTTATTATTTGGTTATGAAGAAAAGCGAAACTTTGTTGTCATTTAGTTGGTGAATTTGCATTTAAAAAACCATTTTGCAGCAAGGAAATAAAAGGATGCCAGGGACGGCCGTGACAAAATCGGTTATAGCAAATGAGCCTGCTGGAAGGAAGAGGGAGGAAATCTTCGTGGATATTATTGAAAAGATCAGCGTCACTTTCAGCTCTAGTGTGGGTATCTTTTCCACTGGGAATTTGCCTGTTATCTTCATCTAAGTGGTTTACTTTTATTGCTTGGGGGACCTCAAAATCCTGTTCATGGCAAACATCGAACTATTTGAAAGGAGAAAAAACATCTTGAAATGGGACTTTAGGTAGTTCATATTCCAGATTGGCCTTATCTGCAGTCATAATGTTCCACTTGATCTTGCTCTCCAAGGAGCTACTCATCTCAACTGTTGTACCCTCTCTAAGTCATGCTATTCCACAGTAATTAAAAAATGTTCTTTTATTAGTCAAGAAAAGAAAATGAAAAGAATCCTAGATACTTTGTCTTTACACATTTAGGTGAGACACCTCTTTGTCAATTGATAGTCGCTTAACGTACTTCTGTCAATAGTTCAAAGTGAATGATGATTCTCCCTACGTGGACCTTTGTGACACTCTTGACCGTTCTCTATGAACCTCAATATTGTCTAATTGCACTACTCATCAGTTACTTAGGCTAGATGATTTCCGTTGATTCAACTTGTGGTCATTTATTTGCGCTGGCAACTCGTCCTTTTCTGTCCTATTTGTCTTATCAGCTGAACCGAATCCTCCATCAAATCTGTGCTATTTGTCAATGCAATTTGATCCGAGTCTCTGTACTACCAACGTGCAGGGGTGGTGGCACGTCAATTGAAAGAATGCTTTTAATAATTTAAACATGCTGATCTGCTATCAACCATAAGATATACTTGACTTTCTGCATAATGCTTGAATTTTGGCAGGGATATATACTGACTTCTGAGATTGATGGAACCATTCAAATGAAGAGTTATCTATCTGGCAATCCTGAGATTCGGGTGGCTTTGAATGAGGAATTGAGTATTGGACGAGGCGGGAGATCATTATATGGTAGTTCCCAGGGTTTCCCTCAAACGTATCACACTTTGATTCTGTTTGCATTTCTTGTAACTTCTTTTTCAGGCTCTAAACCTTGAAAATTCTCTTAGAGGAATTGCTATCGCAATTTGGGATGCTGCTGTCGCTAATTTTGATGGCCATCTAGTTATAGCTACTTGATCTAAGCAAGCAATCCCAGCCTTTCTTATGTCATTTATATATAACTGTGACAGATTACAGAAGTTCATCAGGTTCTGGAGTGGTGATACTAGACGATTGTAACTTTCATGAATCTGTGCGCCTTGACAGCTTTGACATGGATCGGACTCTAACTCTGGTATGGTGCATTAGGATTACTTGATCTGCTTTAATGTAAGGGGAGAGAAGTTGAGGGCGTGTCTACATAGACTTTTACATTTTGGTTTTTACTTAATCTATACGCTGCGATAGACACTCTCTGACTTTTTCTTAGCTGGAAACACCTGAAATTTTCACAATATACAAATATTAACATGTAGATTCACATTTAATCTTGTCATAGTTTTTTTAAAAATTTTGATGATAAAAAGCTTAACCAACTTAATGTTTTGTCCTCATCATTGTTTAAGGTACCACCAGATGGCGAATTTCCTGTCATGAACTACCGTATGACCCAGGAATTCAGGCCTCCATTTCGCGTAACCGCATTGATTGAAGAAGCAGGAAATCTCAAGGTGAGGACATTTAATATCGGCTATGAAAGTGCTACCAAACTATTTGTGTGGCTGTGGACCCCATTCTGCATCTGTTTGTCTCAGTAAAGCAACAGTTTTACTAACTATGCTGCTGTACTAATCATATAGGCTGAAGTAATTATTAAAGTACGTGCTGAGTTCTCTTCGAGTATTACCGCAAATACAGTTGTCGTACAGATGCCTCTTCCGAAATATACTACCAGGTATTCCTTCTGAACACCGTTATTTTTTTTAAAGTGTTACAGGAAAAGTTGCTTGTTTGGTTTGGTACCTCATGATTCAATATTGGCAGCGTGTTGCTATTATATAGAGATCTTTTTGGAAGATAGCTGGATTTATAGAAAGAAATGCCTATGTGAGCTCAATCCGTTACTAGCATCCCCGAGATATTCTGCCGTATTGTGATACAGTGTTATAAAGTTTATCATTCTACGAGCATGATATTACCATTCCAAGGAGTCCGACCATCTAAGTCAACTGAGAAGTTGGAAGTAAGAGGAATTGGATAAACCTGTTGATTATCTGTTGGATGCCCTATTAGCTCTTAGTCAGACCCTTTATCACCATCAAGGTATTCTCCACTTTTTATAAGCAAGTTACTTGGCAGGTCCTGTTGTCCAATTAAGTGGTTCCACTTCTTAGCGTTATGCATGGTGATGTAGGGTAAAATAGGGAAGCTTCATCACTATGAACTTAAAGAGTTATGCGGATTATACTCTAGAATGGATAGTGAGTCATATCTGGTGGGTCACATTGGGCCTGCGGCATATGTTTTGACCTTTTTAATTTTGGGAAAGAGAAGTGATTGGGGGTGGGGGTCGTCAAATGTTTGTTGAATAAAATTGATTGTGTTTACAGAGCGACTTTTGAGCTGGAACCTGGAGCAGTTGGGCAAACTGCAGATTTCAAGGAAGTGAGCAAGAAACTTGAATGGAGTTTAAAAAAGGTGTCTTATTGCCAGTGTCTTGAAGGAATTTAATTCATTCAACTTAACCACAGAATTCATTTTAATGTGCTTATGGCTGTTGTATGTGGCAGATTGTTGGTGGATCAGAAAACACGCTGCGTGCCAAGCTAACTTTTTCTCAAGAATCCCATGGTATGATTTGTCAGTCATCTATGAGGATTCTGAATTGCAATAGATATATCCTCTTCGGAGTTAATCAAGACTTTTTATTCATGTGTTTGCATTGATTCATAGGAAATATTACGAAGGAATCTGGACCAGTCAGCATGACTTTCACCATTCCTATGTATAATGCTTCAGGGCTTCAGGTAATAACATCTTAACATGGGTGTGGCGGAGATTTTACTTTCAACTTCTAAGTTCGAAAATACCTGTTACAATTCCATTGTGGAATATTATATGGAGCCTTATAAATATAGTTTGTGAATGTGACATGGATGGACTGGGAAGTGTAACAACGGACATATTTGACATGTTACGTGGCAATTATTGTGCTTCAATGATGGCAGTTTATTTTGCTGTATGTTGAACATTATTAAGTCAAGTATAGCTACCTGAATTTTGGTGTAGGGATACTGCACCTGCAAATGGGGCCTGGGGGCCGCATGGCTAGTTGGGCCTGGGCAGTTACATTGGCTGTTGGATTGGGTTGCCCTATGTTGGTTTTTAAGGATGGTCAGGTCTTGGCTGTGGTGAAGGCCTTCAGCCGAGTGTTACCTTCCAGGCCTAAAAAGTCCTTGGCTATAATTAGGTTCTAGGAATTTCTCTATTGGATTTCTGAGGATCACTGATGTAAAGAGTAGGTGTGGTAGCTGGGCTTGGCCTGGCTAGCCTACACCTGAGGCCGAGTTCCATTTCCTGTTACTGTTCCCACCCAAATCTGCTGATCGATAGGCATCACCATCCCGAGCTATTGCATTGTTTTTACTTTTTTGGAGTGCCATAAGAGACTCACTGTGTTGTGGATGGACCTTTCTTGTAGGTGAAATACTTGCAGATTGCAAAGAAGTCCAGTAGTTACAATCCTTATCGGTGGGTGAGATACGTCACTCAAGCTAATTCCTATGTGGCTCGTATGTGAGGTTATAGAGCTTCTTTCTGCCGGAACCTTCCTTCTATCTTTTTTTGCTTTCCCTTTCACTGTATGTGATTCCATCTCTTTGATCATCCTCTCGTTGTTTTTCCTAGTTTTAATTTTGAAGTACGATCGATCTTCTCAGAAGAGTGAATTTTGCTTCTTTTTATGGGTATCAGTCAATATCAGCCTTTGGGAAGAAGGATGGATTTAAGGAATTGTGTTTAACTGAATCCTTGAGGTGTTTCTTATGTTACTAGTTGTATATGTCGAATCTCTTGTCCACCGAGAAACATGAAATGAAAAAAAGAAAATAGAAGGAAAAACCAAGTAGAGAAGGACATTTCGTGCACGAGAGGAAATCAACTTGTGCTTCTGTCAGCAAAGTTTAGATAAGCAGCTGCACTTGTATCGACTTTTGTTGAAGATCATAGCTACATATGGCATGCCCATGCATCAAACCTCTCTGATGTGTGGTCTTGATGGATGAAACAGTTAAACTAACAAGACAAAATCTTTCCCACCAACCCTGCTCTAGTCTCTTCTGTCCTAGACGCCACATCGCGCATTTTTTTCAGTATAAAAAGCCTGAAGTATCAGCTTGACATGCAAATTGAACTTAAACACAACTCCAATCTTCAATAGGTCTCAAGTCAAAAGCAGCAGAGATGACTTGCTACTGAAAATTTGCTCTGTTTCCTCTCTTGCTTCTCACTCTATCCTTCATAATTGGTGATGGAGTCCTTGCTTCCCGTCACCTTCTTGATGCAGGCTTGCCGGAGATTCCTGAGCTTCCCAAGCCTGAACTACCTCCTATTCCCACAATCCCAACTTTGCCTAAGCTGGAGTTGCCACCTCTGCCAAAACCTGAAGTCCCAACCTTACCAAAGCCCGAGTTGCCTCCACCGCCAAAGCCCGAGGTCCCAAAGCTGCCTGAAATACCGGTTGTTCCTGAGTTGCCGAAGCCCATCTTGCCTACCATCCCTGAGCTCCCAAAAGATTTACCCACCATCCCTGCCCTTTTCCCACCCCACTCATCCAGTCCTTGATCAAGCAATCTCCTCAGTTTAACATCATCCCACTTGTTATTATTTAGTTGGTGTAATACTTATATATGTGGGTACAGGTTATTGTGTCTGGCTTGAGGTTATTGTGTTAGGGGATTGTAGTTCTGCTACATCTCACCCATTTGAGGTTTCTATGCTGCACTAGCTATTTCCAGTGTTTCTGTTTGTCTGTGCAGTTATTGTTGTTCTTCTTTACTTTGATAGAAGATGATGCGAGATTTGATATTCTATTGTTCCTATAATTTGTCTTTCCAATAAATGACCGATATTGTGGTTTTTATTATGTCTCATTCTCTTGAAGTGAACGACGCAAGTGAATGTTGTTCTGTGAGATACTATGCCTTTTGCTTGGTTTACCGTGTTATGATATATGGCTTTGTGAATAACACTGAGCATGTGAGGCCAACATACTTTGCAATGAAGAGACCGTTGCTGATTTTGTCAAGTGCGTCCAACCAGAAGGATAGTGCAAGTTAAGTCTAAGACGTTGGAAGACTATTGGCTAGACGTGCTGTGTTGCTGATGAGTAGAAAATCATTGTACACGAAACACGAATTGCATGTTGCGCTATACAAATGCGCTGCGCATTATTGCTCAGTGTCTATGGCGCTTAAGGGCGTAGAGACATCGTTATTGGCCTTTCTGCACAGGTAAAACCTCTGCGTAACAAATGGGAAATCCATTCTTCTTCCGTGTCCGTTCAACTTCTCTTGAAAGCTAATTCCTCACCCTTATAGTAGAGAACTGAGCGTACTGTGCGAGAATGCTCACCAGTTAACTCGCGATCACGACAAGAACCGTGGTGAAAACAGCGGAAGATCTTTGGCAATGTTGCTTCTTGCTCACAAGTTGACAACCCATGATTTCTCATGGTCCGTGCTTTCTCATATGATTTGTTCTCAGCGCATAAATCCTCGATCGGTTAGTTTCGTTGGCTGCTCTTCTTGTCATGGGTGTTCTGTCAAAGAAAAAGCTGGGGAATCCGGGGATTCCCTTCCAATTTTAACCAAGGTTACTATTTTTTTTACCTCGGTGGATGAAAAAGGGAAGAGAGAATCGTATTCAATTGGGACTCGAAGAGGCAGACTGACCCTGAGGTCCCCACTGTCAAATGGACATTTAGTGTGACTTGAGAATTTGGCACTCTCTCTTATTTCCTTCCATTGGGGTTTCCAGAATGACATCATATTGACGATGATGTGGAGGCATCTTTATGTGTCCATACATAGGTGTGGATCTGTACATAAGTGATTAGCTTGACCCATTCACGACCTAACTTGATATCTCACCGAGACACTGGTTTACTACTCTAAACTCCGCGAAAGAAACAGTGAAATGGGTGTTCCGAGTGCATAATTTGACAATTGTCATCCAGCTCATTGCCTTCGCGTAAAGATTTTATAGGTGCTCGGAAATTTCCGTTTGCCTATGTCAAATAATTTCGTGTCGGGTAATTTATAATTTCTTTTCCCATCGAAATGATAATACTCGGCAGAACGGGCATCGACACAATGCTCTGAAAGCACCTCGAAATCTCTCCTATATCAACGCGGGGGAAATTTGGTCACGAGTCATCACTGAACATTGCTCTATTCACTTCATATTTGAGTACTTGGGGGTTGTCAGGTAGTGGCCATGGTGGGTGTATAATACACGAGAGAAGAAGAAGAAGTTGGACCTTAGGGCCCTTACCTTAGTTTCTGCGAATTCGAAAATGTTATTGGAGGTTTTTAGTGTGATTCTACCCGCATGGCATGCTGTCTTCTTCTCTTTACATACGTCTTTTTGCTTCCTATTTCGTCGCCCAATACGAGAACATCGGTTCAAGAAGAAACTCAGCGTCCCCGGTCATCAACACTGCTCACGTGCATTTATTACGCCTCGGTCTCATACATGATAAAGCCCCCTCTACATTTGACATGACATCAACACTGTATAAACAGTCACACAAAGTGTTCTGGTTGGACGTCACGCGTATTTTTCTGTTTATTTTGGTCTGTATTTAAGAATTAATAACGCTTTGACGTGTCGCTTAGTAATTCGATTTTGTAAATCAGTCTTAGAAAGTCTAGAGTTTTCCATTCAGTAGAATCGGTTAGATTTACACATGCCGCTCATCAACACCGAAATCGTGCAAAGAAAACTTCACTTGAACTGTGTGCACAGTAAAAAAAAAAAATCCTTTAAAACATGTGCATAAAAGGGAACGCAAAATCGTAATGATTCCATATGGTTTAACAACTCTTGCACAAAAGTGACCATGTACATGGATGTTCATGAGAATCATAGAAATGCCATTCTGGAAAAATTATCTAATCGGTCATAAACGAATTATACGGATGTTAATTCAGTCACAAACTTTTTAATTTTGTCAATTTAATCCTAAATATTTGCATAAAATTCCAATGCAGCGATTTCGGTCAATTTTTATCGAAAATCGCTAACATAGCGTTGTGTCACGTAGAACAGCTGACAATGACTGGACCGTCACATCAATGATTTTCGATGAAAATTGGCCGAAATGAATATATTGGAACGTCACGCAAATGTTTAGGACTGAATTGGCAAAATTGAAAAGTTTAGGATTGAATTGGCAACCGTACAAAAGGTTTGGGAACGATTGAGTAATTTTCCCATGTCATTTGTGTCCTTCCAATAAAAGCATACATATCCTTAAGGGTTAAGGCATAAACATTCCCTCTATACAAAAGAAGCAGAACATGCCCAAAGAAACTTCAGCTTCCCAATCCCCCAGTCGATCTAGAAACAAGGTGTAGCGGCAAAGATGGAGGGAGGACTTCCAGATTCGCAAGGGAGATCAGACGGCCGGAAAAAGAAGTGGCTCCTGTCTTCCTCCAAATTGTGGGGGTTTTTTTTTTTTTTTTTTGCCTAATCAAGAAAGATCCCATCGATGGGAGGGTCAGACAGACATTGGTTCGAACAGAACGGCACGGGAACACGGGAGTTAGTGTTCAATCTCCGTGGTTGGATGTTCCGAACATGATATAATGTATGGTAAGAACTTCGAGGGGGGGGGTTGTCCATTCTCGCGGTGTGCGTAATTATTATGAAGGAGGAAAAGAGACAACTTAAGACATGTCCTACCTTGATGTTTCTATAAATGGACGCTAAGATGGAACAGCGATGGTAGGAGTAGGAGGGGTGTATGTCGAATCCCATTAGCAATTGTCGACGAAAGTCGAGGTGTGAATAAGAAAGAGAGTAAAACTCCAGGCCCATCAAAATTGGCCAAGACCAAAGTGTGAGAGAGAGAGAGAGAGAGAGAGAGCAAATGGGAACATCCCCCATGTCACGAAAGCTGAACATCAATCCAGAGAGAGAGAGAGAGAGAGAGAGAGAGAGAGAGTCACTTCAAGAAAATCAAATCCAATCCGTTCTCTCTCTCTCTCTCTCTATCTGGAAAGGAGGAGCAAGAAAAGAGAGGCGGTGCGAAGGCAAAAAAAAGCCTTCTTTTGGTAAGGTGGACTCTGCAGACGCCCAAGCAGCCACCCCCATCTTCTTGTTCCTAGTCTCTCTCTCTCTCTGTCTCTGTCGCTCTCTGTCTCTTCGGCTGACTGTGCGTGGGACCCCCCGCCCTCCTTCCCAAACAGCGGCACCATTAGTCTTTACTTGCAAGCTCATCCACCTCCCTTCTCATCTCCTTCTATCTCTCTCTCTCTCTCTCTCTCTACCCCCTCTGCAACTCTCTTATCAACTCTTCTCCACCACCACCACCACCACCACCACAAAGGAGGAAGAAGAAGAAGAAGATGAAAGGCGAGTATTTACACCCCAAGAAGACCAGCTCCCCCAACCAAACCGCCATGTTCTCCAACCTCCACCACCCCCGTCCCTTCTCCCACCGCTTCCAACTCGACGACGACCCCTCCTCCACCACCACCTCCCCCGCCCCCGCCGCCCCACCCAACAAGCCCAAACCCGCCGCCGACCATCCCAACCCCGCCGGCGACGGCGCCTCCATCGAGGTCGTCCGCCGCCCCCGCGGCCGGCCCCCGGGCTCCAAGAACAAGCCCAAGCCCCCCCTCTTCATCACCCGCGACCCCGAGCCCACCATGGCCCCCTACATCCTCGAGGTCCCCGGCGGCTCCGACGTCGTCCACTCCATCTCCTCCTTCTGCCGCCGCAAGGGCATCGGCCTCTGCGTCCTCGCCGGCTCCGGCGCCGTCGCCAACTTCACCCTCCGCCACCCCTCTTCCTCCTCGCCTGGCGCCACCATCACCTTCCACGGCCGCTTCGACATCCTCTCCATCTCCGCCACCTTCGTCGCCCCCCAGGTGGCCTCGTCCACCTTCTTCGTGCCCGACGGGTTCAAGATCTCCGTCGCCGGCCCCCAGGGCCAGATGCTCGGCGGCTCCGTGGCCGGGCCCCTCGTGGCCGTCGGGCCCGTCTTCGTGGTGGCGGCGACGTTCAACAACCCTTCCTTCCACCGGCTGCCGGCCGAGGAGGACGACGGCGGCGGCGGCGGCGGGAGCAGCTCGCTGTCCGGCAGGGGTGGGGACGGGCACTCGCCGCCGGCTTCGGGAGGCGGCGAGAGCGCGCACCCGCCCCCGCAGCCGACGGCGGCGGATTCTGGGGTGTCCATGTACAGTTGCCATTTGCCGTCCGATGTGATATGGGCTCCAGCTCCGAGGCAAGCACCGCCTTACTGATTATTCTTTCTTTCTTTCTTCTTTTGGGGAGCGGGGAGGCCTCTGTCATCAGCTGTCTGTTGTGGTTAGTTTAGTTGAATTTTCCGTTTCAGGGTTCTGATTTTGCGACACTGTGAATCCTTTTTAGTTCATTGCCTTTGCTCTATTGGATTGACTTTTAGTTGTAATAAAAGGTCGAGAGATGTTTTCTTCTTCTTTTGGGCATGTCCATTGTCATACCTGTTAAGCTCTCTTGCTTTTCCTTGGGAAGAAGTGAAATTGAGAGAGAGAGAGAGAGAGAACTGCGCACTGAATCTTTCATTTCGTTAGCTTGTACTTGCTGTTTGCTCCCTGTTTATGTTTCTTGTCGCCAATTTAGAACACAACAGGAAGCTTGATTTTTGCTTTGTTCTCGTCGTTTTTGGGGGGAAAGTTGATGATTGGCCCTTTTGAAGTATCCACAAACAAAGCTCTCCCTGAATTTTAGTGTAAAGTAATCCTCACATGGTACCAGCATTTTCTTAAATGTACTTTTCGCCTCCCTCCCTTTTCTGTCTGCTGTCTTTGGCTTTCTAATATTTAAAGTAAAGGACCTTGTTAACAAGCGTTTCAACCATAAAAATAGACAAGAGAGTATCATTTTCGTATTAAATGCAATAGATGTATTGAAAATGATATGTTATCGACGTTCGCTTCGAAAATACTCTTTAAATAAGATCTTTTTAAGCATTCTTTTTTCTTGGGCTATAAGTATTCTCATTGTGGGTTGACTTAGAACTTGTTGCAAAGCTAAGGGTGATAATCATATTTAGAGGGAGTTTTACTTCGACCAGATCCCGGTGCTCGAGAGAACAGTCCGAAGTGTCATCTTATTTTCACACTTCCTAAGGTTGATCCTCGAGTACAAGCAGCATTTGACCCAACATTATTTAGTGTTTCGCAATTTTGATCCTCGCGCGAACGACAAACTCCTTTTCTAATGCCGTCCCCAACAAAAGATCGTCCAGGTGGTGGTTGGGTTTCCCTTTTTAAGACGGTTCTCAGAATCTACCACGTGGCCTCTAAAGATAAGATCTATCTTCACCTTCACCTTCTTCGCGCGGAGAGAAGGATAAAGGGTGGTGTCACCAAAAACGTGGGCTAGGGTTTGGTCCGGTCTGTGCTAGCCAGTTCCTTTTTCGGTGCAGGTTAGAGAGAATATTTCCTCGAGAGAGAGAGAGAGAGAGAGAGGGGGATGTGATGGCTTTGCTTTTTCCCACACACTTCTTTGAAAAATTGAAAGCGAATACACCAAACCCCACTTGTCACCGACTGGGGGCTGACTATGGCAGCAGACCAATCAATCCATCCATCCATCTGTACTTTGATTTGTCTCTTCCTGCTACTCCTTTCCCTTCTCCTTGATTGGGAAAATGGGGACGGCACGATGCCCATACAGAACGCAACTTGCACGATGCCAGGTCCCATCAATCTTCCCCTCCATCTCTTGCAAGCCCATGCCCGTTGTGTTTTTGGATCGTCTCTCGATCGAGAACCATCATGAACGTCATCTCTTCCTCCTCCAACCAATGGGCGATGGATGCATGGGTCGAGCCTCCCGTTCCTAGTCTTTGCATTGAAAGTCTTCATTGCGTTCATGACACTTGTTGTCTTTCTTCTCTCTCAGCACGCAAACCGAAAAGGAGAAAACCAGACCATAATCTTGAAAATCCGTTCCTAGTCTTGGGATTCTGAACCAGAGTTTGGCACTGTTTTGGGATTTAGCTTGTGGATCGATTTTAGACATTGACTCAATAGATCTTATAAGAAAGTACTCTTAACTCTATTAAAATTTTTGGAGTTATATGATTTTGGAAATCTTAATACAAAATTTACTACAATCTAATATTGCCGTAACAGTCACCGTTGCACTCCTGGTTCTCATTTTAGGGCTGTTAGATTTCAAATTTTTACTCCTTAATGGTTTGGGTTTGTTTGGAGTGATTTTTAATATTTTGTTTTTAATTTTTAGGAAAAAACAAACAGCCTCTTTGAAATTGGTCTTTATACCACTTCTTAACCTCTACTTTAAAAACATTACTTGGGATCTTAGCCGACAAAATCTTGGTCTTCATTTCAATTCTCTATTCACCCAACACAAAATCTTTGTCTTCATTTCCAACTCTCCTACCCACCACATGCCCTATAGCTCTCGGCCACCTCCATCCTCCATGACCACCGTGGTCAGATCGTAGCCGCCGCCATAGTGGGCGGGTAGCTATCACCCTGCTCTTAGCCGCCGGTACTCATCTCTTCCTCTTTTTTGTGCGTCGTCCCCTCTCTTTCTGTATGCCATGTGATGTATTCCATGGACAACCTTGGCCACTAGAGGTCATGACCCGCAATGCGCGACCTCGGTCAAGGTCATCCATGGCTGCGATGGTCGTCCATGGGTTGGAGGAGGCCGGCAGCCTTGACTTAAGGGAGAGGGGGCCGGAGCGGCGGAAGTTGGTTAGATTGGTAGGGGTAGAATTTTCTAAGGGTTCGTTTGTTTTAAAGAAAATGAATGATTTAAAAAATATTTTCCAAAAAATGATCGTATATATCACTTGAATAATTAGTCGATGAAAATTATTTTCATTATCGACAATATGTCCAAACATTCTTATAGATGATGAGAATATTTTTCGTTTATTCATTTTTGTAAGTGATATGAGCGATTATTTTTAGAAAAAAAAATATTTTCTTAATCATTCATTTCCGTGAAACAAACGCACCATGATTAAGATTTGCTTTGGAAGTTTGAGTAATTTAGAAGATGAGCAGAGGTCTTTTGGGAAGAGAAGTGGTGCTTGTAATTAAATCTAAGTTTCAAACTTCTGGGCGATGCACTTTGGTGTCCCACATGAAAACACAAGATACAAAAGGCTATATTATAAAAGTAGAGGATGGAAAGTTGTGTTGATTTTAAAAGTGAGGATTGTGTTTGGGTTTTCCCGTGTAATTTTCAAATCTTGCGCCGCGCACGCTTTCACTTCTTTTTTTTACATGCAAAGAAACTCAAGACTTTCAAAATCTGTTTTTGGATTAGTTGGTCATTCTTTCATAGTTTTCATCAGTTGGATGATACTTTGAATTTTGGTAGGAATGTTGGAAAGTTACTTTTGACTTTTTTCAAGAAGACAAAACAAATGCACCCTCAATCCTATGTTTTGAGATTGGGGATCAAGTTTGAATAATTGATGGTATTGAATATTTGAGGTGGTTTATTAATGTATTTTGGGGTTTGCTTTCTTAAAAAGAGCTATAACAGTTCGGATACTTGACGATACCCTATTACTTGAGTGATGTCAATGTCAAATCTTGTGACGCTTTTGAGACAACCTAGTATAATAAGAGAAACTAAACATGATGGTTTTCATGCATCCCGCTGGGGCTCCTCCCTCTGGGCGTACTGCCAAGGTTACTTCAAGTGACGTCTCGTACTCGAACATGGGTCATACAGTATTGAAATCAAACATTTAGCCACTACGTCGATCCCTTCGAAAACGCCTATTTGCAATATTTCATCAAACCAATTTTGGTGAATGTATTCAAGACTACTCTCGAATCTCGATACATAATTCGGCATTGCTCTAGGACAAAATGACATACTTTTGGGGGGAAAACGAAAGCTTTTACAAGACCAAGACCTGTAGACTGTTTGTTAAGTCTTCACATTTACACTATTTAGACACGCGGAAAGGGAACCATGATTGCATTTAGAGGGATGGAGTGGGACATTACAAATTGGAACGCACCTCCAAACACGATGATAATAGATTAGATTCACGGGTCTTGTCCAAATGAATTCAGATGAATGATTCTTGTGTCATGGTTCTACACGCAACCTTCTCAAACATTTGAACCCCAATGATTTGAATTCTGCTTGGTGTGCTTAAGAATCCCACGTTGGAATAAGATAATGGTTGTCTCAAGTTAACAAAAAAAGCACGTAACAAAATACCTACATATATATGTGTAAGTATATATGTATAAGGTAGTGAATAAAAAAAAGAAAGAAATTGGGTGGAAACTTTGCCCTTCATGACTTAGTTGTTGTTGCTTTGTTAGACAAATGTCCGCGATGCATGGGATTCTGCGGCGCACCGACGCTTCTGATGCCTTCTTGTAGTTCCAAACATCTTGGTAAAATTTTTTTAAGGTATTTTTGCAATTACTACCTTTTGGAGCGGTCTGTAAATTATGTCAGAGAGATATTAGTGGATAAAGTGCAACTATGAAACACATGAAAGGACACTAAGCTGTATTTCTTTTTTACCTTGCACTAAGCTGCATTGCCACGGTGAAAACGGGGATAAACACGAGTGAAACTTGTAAAACACGGATTAAACAATGCTCATTGAAGGAGCCTAACCCTCTCGCAAGGGATATGAGAAAAGAATGGTATTGTTTTTCATTTTCATGACGCTAGAGGTGGTAAATGGGTATTAATGGGTTGGCATATTAACATAATCGGTATTAAATGGGTCACAAATGGATCACTCAATAAGCATAAGTGAATAATAAACATGTTATTTTCATTTTTTAATGTTATGATTTTTAATTTTTTATATAATTTTTCTTTTCATTTTTATTTTCATTTTTTCTTTTTACTTCTTCCTCTGTCGGTGGCCGGCCACAGGCAAGGGGCTAGCTCACTGGAGGCCGGTAAAGCTCGAGTCTCGCCAGATCGACGAGGCTCGAAGCTCACCAAAGGCCGACGAGTAGGGGTGAGCGGTTCCAGGTTCCACCTGGAACCGGCCCTCGGGTACAAGTTCCTTATTTTTTGGAACTTAGAACCTACCCGTCAGAACTTGAAACCTGGAACCTACCCAGTCACAGGTTCCAGGGTCTAACAAGTTCTTTTTTTGTTTTATTTCATTATGAAAATGAACACAATAATATTGAATAAACTTGTCATTCACTAAAGAGAATACAAAAGACTAGTTTTCCTAACATTACGTTCAAACAAATACAATTAGAATGAGAAGTCATTGCATGAATCGATATTAGGTGTGAGCAGTCCGTATAGGTTCCATCTAGAACCTACCCATGATAATAGTCCTTATTTTTTAGAATCTAAAACCTACCTTATCACAGGTTCGAGGGTCCGTTTCAAGGTCTACCCAGATTTCACCTATATTATTAATTGAACAATTGCAGTGAATCATCACTTTTAATGATTACCATTTGCTGCTATGATCTACTGACCACAAATTATATGTAAACACACGAAGAATATTAAACATTAACAAGTCATAAAATGAAAGTTCAGACTAGTAGTTCCAGATTATACACTCATCATTTAATATTATGAAACACTGCAGGATCATGCAAAGACATTGATTAAGAAAAAACATAAAAGAAAACTCTTTTAGGTTTCAGGTTCCAGGTTCCACTTACCTAGAACCTGGAACTTACCCATCGAAACAGGTTTTCCAATTTTTGGAATCTGGAATCTATCCTGCATACCATGGAACTTGAAACCTGCAGGTTCCTACAGGTCATGTTCTCAGGTTCCAAGTTTTACCCTGGAACCATGTTCACCCTTATCGGTGAGCCTCTAGCTTTGCTGGCCTACAACGAGCTCGTCCCTCGCCTGTGGCCGGCTGTCGTCGTGGCCGGCCACCGGCGAGGGAAGAAGAAAAAATAAAAAAAAGAAAACGAAAAAGGTAAAGAAAAGAAAACAAAAATAATTAAAATATGATTTAAAAAATAAAAATAAAACTTAAAATATTTAAATATTTAAATAAGTGCATAGAGGAAAATATGATTTTTCATACTAATCAGCGGAAAATATTTTCTAGTTCATTTTCAGGTTTTAGCCAAATGTCGGAAAATATAGTCATTTTCCTGAAAATATTTTCCAGAAATGTCATATTTTCCGCGAAGCAAACGGAGTCTAAATTTTTTTTTAAATATTTGTATTGTGTGAAGATGTTTTAGCAATACAATTTTTAAAAATAATTATGAGAAATAAGCTTTCCTAGATTTAGTTAAATGGGTCGGGTATGGGTCGAGAAATTTGCTTGGCGATTAATGGGTTATAAATGGGTTAAATGGGTCAAGTTGGGTCGGACCATTTATGACCCGACCCGTTCCACCCGTTTAACAGGTTTACGTGATGCTATGGTCCTGTAAAATCCCATCAGATTAAGAACAGAGTTTTCATAATTACTGGCAAAGCATGAAGGATTTATTAGTAGAAAAAGAGTGACAGCCAACACCATAAATCCGAAAACTACTTAATTGTAGGTACGAATCAAACTTTCTCAATAAATCGATCGGATCACGCTTCATATTGGGGACATTGGTTCTAGCATTTGGGGACCTTGGAGGCTTGAAAGAATCATTCTAGTCCACCAGAAACAAAGTTCCAAAGTCTAGGATTATGACTTGGCCATACGTGTTATATTTTGAAATTCAAGCATTTCGTGAACAGATTTCAACTGCACATACGTCATGTGGAAAATAGTGGTCGCTATAATGATCGATAGACACCTTATAACACGATTCACGCAAATCCAAACTATGTCCAGCTCGTTTCTACTTGCGCAAATGGTCCCCCCTCCCCCATGCAAATTGCAAATGAGTCATGACTTTATATGGACGGACGTAACACGACCTGGTCGGACATGGGCACGAACATATCTACCGGGCTAGGCATGCCAACCCAAAGAACAGCAAGGCGTGATGTAAAAAAAGTCGAAAGGAAGATGCACGGAACATGCGCCGTCATTTCATCACTATTTCTGCCATACGCGAGTCCTTTTCATTTGTTCCTCTTTTGGCAAGTAGGCCACCCCAATTTCAAATCCTTTGTTTGTATGTGTTATCACGAGACTCTCCCCTCCGTGTCGGGAAAGCAAAGTCCCCTTTTCTTTTCTTTTCTTTCCCTGGATGATGCAAGGATGTTTCTTTAATTAGACTAGGTTTTAGTGAAATCCCAGTCGAAATTTCGATGCAGTTTCTTGAGCAGGAAAGGTTCCAGCTAGATCATCTTATTTTTCCTTGAATTGATGCGGTGAGACACGTTCGACTGAAGAGTGGTCTTTTAGGATCGGCCGATGGATGTCGCCACCACCTCCCAACTATCCTACACATTCAATCAAGGTTTGCGTCGGTGAAAAGCTTCAACGGCTCGTAGCGCCATCATCTCTCAACAATGGCTTTATGTTAATTTGACGCTCGTTGACAATTATCTGATCAATTGCCAATTCCAGTGTAGCCCTTTTTTTCATTTGATGTTGGGCTATGTTTTCCTCCGCATTACATGTCCAATCGGTAAATCAGGAGGTGTGGAATAACTTGCGTGACAAATTTAACTCGTTATAAATATGGGGTGGTTTCTATGTTCTTAACCCACCAACCAGAAGACGAAGAATGAGAATTGAGGAAGACATGAACTTTTACTTTTCTATGTACCTATAGCTGTTGTGTAACTTGATTTTGTTAAGAACATACGTGTCATTTGCCTCCGCAAAAAAAGTAAAAGAAGACGCACATCAGTATAGAAATGGACCAAACCAACACAGTGAAGGACTCAATTATACTAATATGATAAGTTTTAAGACTTAATTGCACTTTTTGCAAGTTTCATGACACAATTGCACTTTGGTGATAGGTTTTAGGACTTCTAGTACACTTGTGTTGACATTGCATGAGTCATCCTAGATGCAGAAGTTTCCTGCAATTGGGCTGGTCATTCATATGTATGCAGGCGTGATGGATATGTTCGACCTCACATTATTGAATTGGCCAGTCCATTCAAATAATGCACATAGATCTAGAACTATGGCTTCGTGCAGGAATTGACCATTCCATGTCCATTCTCCATCTAGATCGAGTCAAAGGCAAGGCATCATTCGCACATGGAGGGCTTGAATCTCCCCTTCGGAAGCAAAGAAGAGAAGAAATTCCAGAGTCCTCCAAGGCAGGCCATGGCGTTCTTTTCAGATTTCAGATCCACCATCCCAATTTGGCAGCAGACTAGGAAGTTCTTCACGTGCCTGCATGGCCCGTTCTACGTAGTAGGTAGGGCACTACCTACTCATGAGCGTCCCTGGTGCAATCCCCAGAGATTTCCATGACTTGTCGGGATATTACCAAAAAAGTCATAAATTTATTACATTTATGCTAATTCAGTCATGAACTATTCAATTGTGCCAATTCAATTATAAACCTTTTAATTGTGCAAATTTGCCAATTTAGTTTGGCCGAAAATTGCTAACTATAAGATGTGACCAAAGCTAACATGGACAAATCAAATTTTTATGAAATATTTTTTAATATTTTTTTTTCTTTTTCTTTATACTTCCTCCTTCGCTGGTCACTGGGCCTTGGCAATGGTTGGCAACCAGCCACAAGCAAGGGCTGACCTTGCCAACTTAGGGCACGGCTCGCCCTCGTTGTCCTCGGGCGAGTTTCAAGCTCACCGGGATCTACAAGCTCAACCTTGCCCGGATCTAGAGAGGCTCGGGCTTGCCAAGATTGGGTAAGGTTGAGCCTCGTCGACCCTCGCCGGCCCTCTCCTGCGGCGAACCGGTAACAGTCACCGAGGCCCAACGACTAGCAGAGGAAGAAGGAAAAAGAAAAGGAAAGAAAATAATAAAATAAAATAATTATCAAAAAATTATCCACATCAACGTCAATCGTGCCACGTAGCTATCCATGTCAGCAATTTGCGGCTAAAATTGGTTGGAATGATTAAATTGATAAATTATCAAAAGATTTAGGATTCAATTGACACAATTGAAAGGTAGTGCAATAGGTTTAAAACTTTTTTGGTAATTTTCCTCAGTTTGTTGCTTCGTCTTCCTTGAGAAGCACGGAGCTAATATGCTTTCGGCGATCACTAAGAATGCCACACTCATGGGGGGATCGATTGAGATGCTCAAGGAGGAGGCCCGTCCCGCGCACGCATTTGTTTGGACGAAGAGAAAGGTGCGAAGTTAGCTGTGGTTTGGTTTGGTGGTGGTTGGACCGGTCCACCTTATCAACTATCCTACTTGGCCGTCCCTTCTTTTGACTTCTTTTTTCCAATCTTTTCTCGGTATCCGTCTTAACGTTGGCTACTTGCGCAAACAGCTAAAAAGTCCGACACCTCCTACCAATCGGATGGAGTCGCAGATCGAGACATGAAACCAGAAGTGGGTCGTCATGTACTAGAGGAAATTTTCCCTTATTGATCTGTACAGGTTCTTGCACAATGCATCTTAACTTTGGTACGCTGTAGCAATGGTCGCAACCGCGGTAATTCTAACTTTTAATCTCGACCGACATCACCGGTAACAGCCTAATTAAGGTTAACCTCAATCAATCTCAACGTCAGTTCGGGCATCACGACACAATCAGTTTGGACGAGCAAGGTACTTGCGTAACTCTTTTCATACTCCTAAGACCAATCTTAGCCCGACGGTGGAACCCATCAGAAGAATGAGACCGATGGTTCAGATCAATGGGTAATTACCAAGAAATTTCAATCTGGGGGTACCCAAAAGACTTCATGGACCAAGCCAGTCAAAGAACTCAAAATCATAATGAAGTCGCTAAAATTGACCAAATCTTTAAGAGCAGACAGCACCTGCTCGCAATTAACTCCACATATTATCCGCCATTTCCGTACAGATTCGTTATCGTGAGCAAAGCTCCTCTATGCACTATCTTGATCTCATGATCTTCCCAGTTTCAAAATCGAAACAGATTATCCGAAAAGAAAGTGAGCTGCAAAAGGCCAAGTAATGCAAAATGGTGATTTACTCATATTTACCGACACATGACCAGCCAAAAGGATTACAATTTGAGATGAACCTTCCCCAGAACTTTTATTTACCCACCCTCTATCTTGGTTCCTAAGTAATTAAAAGGTTTAATCCGTTCTTTCTCTTGCAGATCTTCTCAAAGAGACACCGTTTTTCACATCATAAGAGCCGTTCGACCAGGCAAATCTCTCCGAGTCAGTCTCTCTACGTCTACTACTACTACTACTGCGATGACTACTACTATTGCTAATTTCTAACTCCCTACGCCACTTAGTAATGTCCGAGTTCAAAAATTCATCGCCTCTCAGACCGGAATCCAAACCGTCTCTTTGAGATGGGCTCGTTTCAGCAAAACCTGAAGCATGTCTTTCTGGATTGGCCAGGGGTGAGTGCCTTGAATAAAGGGGAGAGGAAGAAGAAGATGAAGTGTCAGAATCAGAGGAGTTCCTCCAAGAGCTGCTCCAACCTCGCTCACCGAATATATAATCTGAAAGGTCGTCTGCGCTGGCAGAATCTCGGGTCCCATCTGTACTGCAAGATCCTTCATCTGAAGTGTTACTGAATAGGGAAGAATTGTCGCTTGAAGAATCTTCTTCCAGTATCCTTTGCAACCGATGGAACTTTGAATAGAAGGATTCAATAGTAGCTGAACCATCTGAAGACATTGAATTGGGGAAAATATTGCTGGAAAATCTTCCCGGTGGCTTAATGCTCAATGCAGCAATTTTCCCACTGTTTCTGGCAAGTACTGCTTTATGTTTTGGGTCCGCAGATATTAATTTGTCCCTTATCGATCTGGGGGCCCGGGGAGAGCACCTATATAATGTCAACAATTCAACTAATTCAGTGATGCGCCGCTACCATTACTGATCATCAAATGCATATAGAAGTTATTACCTAGCATAGAGTAGCATGTATGCCCCCATTGAGGGGACGCTCTCAAGTTCCATGGGTGTTACCTATTCAAGAAAAATCAAAGTGCAGCTAAAACATCAGTTTCAGTACCCTTTACATTCTGCTATATGCAAATAAGTTCAGCAAACAGAATAAGCAAATAAACTAATATGATAAAGCTCATACAGAGTAACAATTAGCTACTAAAACCATCAAGAAGCTCTGCTCTGGTCAAAGGGCGGGCAATTGGTGAAAGCAACTACAAGAAATCTTAAATAATTGTGGCAAAGTGGCCGTGCACCATGCACATGTACATTTCTAAATGGTTAAAAGCACTGGATTTTATGTCAAGGACAATTGAATATGCAGATATTAAGTAAAAAGGTCAGGACATTCAGGAACGTAGTCAAATGCAACTTGCAAGAATCAATGGGAATTAGCTAAATGAAAAGGTAACATACAATAACAAAATGTTAAATTCTCAAGAGCAACAATGCATGAACATACCGTTTTATCATCAATCTTGAACCACTTGTTTTGAGGATTCTTAACATAGCACACATAATGACCAGAAAATGCAGCATTCTCGACATCCAAGTGGACTATAACTCCAAACAGTCTGTATATAGGCGATTTGTCACTAGTTCCACTCATATAAGGAGCCAAGTTGAGGATCTCTGGGAACTGAATCAATTTGTTGAGCTTTCCAAATTTTCCAGACTGTTATCGAAGAAAGGGGTCAGTTTTTCACAGGAGTAGACCCAAGAAAATACACCAGTTGAAAGTATCATCAGTATGATTGATCAATTTTTACCTGATACCGTTTTAATGCAATAGTAAGCACATTTGGAGCTTCCAATATTTTCAATCTCTTTCTGGCCTTCTCATAGGATTTACACCTGAGTGAATTTTAACATTAACAAGGTGAGTACAATCCCCAAAACCTGCTATGCAGATGCAAAAAAGTACTAATGAAATTAGACGAAGTGCCCGTATCACTGTAGAGCATAAATGGATGAGATCGAATTTGAGCAGACTTATACAACGAAACAGTACTACATGCCCGTGGGCATTTTAAACAGGGATTAACAACATTAGAGGCAAATAGCAGCACACTTGCAAGTGCGCTCTAAGGCCAGAGCATACAAGCACATCAGCTCAAGGTCGATACACATAGAAAGAATATCCTACAAAGACCATGATGCTTAGAGTTTTTGTAAGTAGTAACCGATACAATCCCCCGTCAATCAATTCATCATACCTTTCTTATTGATAGAGTTAATGGCATCTTCATATTCAGATGCAGAGCCAAAATGCAAGACTCATTTCATCTTCTTGTGGATAAACCAAAACTACAATTTGTAAAAGAGGGAATACTCTTCCTAACAAGATCTATTTGTCCCCTAGTACACTATCCACTACTACGAATATTGACAAAAATTACGTCGTCAAGACTGTTCTCATGAGCTAATAAAAGAAATAAACATAACCAACCTGCTGCAATGATACTTGTTTTTTCCATCCAGAGTCTCATTTTCGGTAAACCGATGAAGAGCTTGTTCCAAGGTTCCAATATCTCCCTCTATCTCAACAGTTAGATCCATCATTCTTTCATGCCGCTCAGATTTTACATGACACTTGGTGCATCTTATCTGTAGTTAACAAAGTTTAAACCGTATAAGGACTTTCGCATATATGATGCAGAGAAAAGTAAGTACTTCAATGGCTATTCTTCAAAAAGAGAAAGAAATGCAAGGAAAATCTTGGTGAAAAGCGCATCACCCCACCTTTGACCGAAGATAGCCACCAAATGTCAATCCCATCAGAGTGGTTTCCTCTTCTGAAGAACTAGACCCCATCTCCACAGATTTCACAAGACAAATTGACTGCATCGCATCAATGGCGCACCTGACAAAATAAACTTGCTAAAGGAGCTAGGCCAAAAAGAAAGAACTTTGACATAGGAACAAGATGAGAATTTTCAGATATAGAGTGGACTTTTTCAATAATACCTTAAAAATTCATGGGCGTCTTCCTCTCTCCCATTATGAAGCTGGCTTCCAATTTTATGTAATTGGGATATTATCCTAATTGGAGAAATTGCTGAGGTCCCTTCTTTAGCCTTTTGAATCAAGCTCTCAAATTCACACATGAAACACCACTCCTTCTTTGGACCTGACACAGTGAGGCAGTAATTAGTATCGAAATTTTCAACCAATCACACATGCCAATGGACAATGTCTCAGTAACTTACAAAGTTTTGAATGAAGTCCCCGAAGAAAATATGCAGTGAGAGGAGGAGTAAAAGCCAGGCATTGCAACACGGCGTTAGCATAACAACTGCAGAAAACAACAAACAAAATAGGCTACTTAAAGCATCGGTTGAAATTCTTACTATGGGAATTTAAAAAAAAAGAGGAACTCGATGAAACTCAGCCCTTTCAGAACAGTGTAATTGTCAGCAAGAATCATTATTTATTGAGACGACAAGCACATACAGATGCTATTACAATAATACAAGACGCCAGATGGTGACACCATAACAAATGAATACCAAATAGGACATAGGCATGCTTATGTCACAAGCACATGAATGGACATATTCATTATGAGGAGTGCACTGAAAGATAACTGTTCCAACTATGCTAAAAATTTAGAACTTTTAAGCAAAAGAGGAGCATGAGTGCAACATATATGCATATTAATATGTTATTTTGGTGAGATTATAATGTCTTTTAATTTCTTCACAAACTGAGTTCAAGAACATAAAAGAATTATCTGGATGAGCAAATCCAATCAAATCTCTCGCTTAGCTTATCTCAAGATGCACAAAAACAAATAAAGCCTTAAGATCTGCAAAATGAGAATGTCAATATAGAGACACGTGAACGCAAACTCACCAGAAAATGGATACTATTAGAATGTGTAAGACATACATCTAATATACACCCGTATAGAAGAATTATCCTCCTCCAAAAGTCGTTCAAAGACATGTTTTGTGATTCATGATCAAAGTAACTGGTAGTTGCTACATCAACATACAGAACCAAATCTAACACATAGCTTCGAAAATTGTTATTGATTTATAAGTTTAGTTTCTATAAAATTATGAATCTTTTCAACTGACCTGTTCCCACAATTCACAAGACCGCATGGGAGCAATTCCACTTCTTTCCATGTATAAAGCTTGACAAAAAGATCATAAGGAAAGAGCCCCTGCAAAGTAAAAGAAATGTAAATGCAACTTGTGGCAGCAATAACTGATATCCACAATAAGTAAAAGCAATTCATAATTATTGTCGAACCTTGTCATTGTATTTTCCAGATGTATCACTTCCATCTCCTGCCAGATACCGTTTGGACAACACAGATCCTTTCGATTGGTCTCCGGTAGTATCGATAGATGACTTTACATTTTGCAAAGCCTTTAAAGAACAAGCTGCCGACTGAGAGGGTAAAGCAACGCTGTGTTGAACTTTGTCACTTTCAGTCATATTGACAGGTGGAATCGGATGCCCAACACCAATGTTGGTGGCATCCCTTCTGGAAGTATGTTCCTGTCTGAAAGGAGCCCCATCAGATACGAAAGTGGTCTCGTCATCCCCGATACGACTAGATCTCTCACAGTTCAAAGATGGAGGTTTGCTAGCACTCAAACCGCCTTTTACCACTTTCCCCAACAATGTAGGTTCCTTGTCAAATTTGTTCTGAGGAAGAGCATCACGAGACATGAAGCGTTCTTCTTCGAAGCCTTTGCTACGCGAGACCTGTTCATTACTCTGGAACTTACTAAAGGAGGGAAGCATGTGAGATTGAGAACCAGATGCTTCGCTCAAATTCGCATTATTAAGCTTGGGCGGCAGGGAACTATCTGAGATGATAGTTTGCTTCTCAGCGGGAACCACAACACTCTGCCAAAAATTAGAAGAGTTCACAGATGGCTCAACCATCTGATCACTAGGCCTCTTGATACTTTCACTTTTTAAATCACATTGTTCTTGTGCATCATTGCAGCCAGGCTTCTTATTTGACTCGTCCAAACTAGCATAGCCACGGACCGAACCAACTAAACTTGCAAATTTTGGAGATGGTGGCTTAGCATCATCTCTAGAGTCATCACATGTAGTGCCAGGCATGTTCCGTCCAACATTAGATGATCTATTCTCATCTGAACTCCCGGAATCGTTTGAACCAACACTTTCACGTATTGAAGCATCATCAGATAATTCATTACTGGCAGTGGAGCCAGAGAATCCAGAAAATTTGGCACTTGAAGATTCAGAATGATAACTTTCTGACTCAACTTTGATATTGCTATTTTTCTCAGGCGTTGTGCTTGAAGAGCAGTTACTGTCCGCCGATGTTGGTTCATCAACAAAACCTTCAGTAGATTTTGCAGCATCCCCAAATGCATTCCCAAGTGTATTGCCATAATCTACATCTTCCTCAAATTCTGTGACCTTTTGACTATAGTCATTCCCAGAGTCGGGAGGGTGGCATTCTTCCCTATGACCTTGTCGCCAGTGAATGATTTGACACTTACCAGAACTGAAAGAAGGCAAATCAAACACATGTTACGACTATGAGGAAGAACTCTCCATAGATAAGATATTTCAAAGAATTGCAGGCGCATTCCCGCAGACTAGAAAATATATTTTCAAATAAAATTTAATAAAGATGGATATACCACTATCATCTCTAGTTGGCAACATGAAGAAAGTTTCCACTTTCTGATGACAAAATCTTGACCAACTAAAACAAAAAATTGGGAATACAATTTCTATAAGCAGCACTAAATAAAGTAGTTGTGGCTACAGAAAACACCGCCCATGAGGGCATACCAAGGAACTCTGTCTAAAGTCAGCTTATAATCTGCCTATTGATATCAGCATGAACCAGCAAAACATAAATATCCATAAATTCTAGCTAAAACCAAAAAATTAGCGATAGAATTTCTTGAAGCGGCACTAAAGTAGCTGTGGCTACAAAAAAACACCACCCCTCGATGAGAGGTCTAAAGGCAGCTTCTACTCTGCCTATTGATATCAGCATGAACCAGCAAAAAAATAAATATCTTACAAATAAGAAGATACCCACGAAATCCACATAATTCCAAAACTTGTAGCATGTTAAATTGGACATGAAGCATGCAAAATTTATACTACGCAAGATTGCCTCTGCACACTGCAGGCTTCACATATGAACATACGATGGATTTCTTGCCCATTAAACGCCGCATGGCAACAAATAAAACTCGCTGGCAGATGAACCTTCTTCTCTGCATTTTTTGCAGATCTAATTATTGAGCCAAAATACGATCAAAGAAGAAATCTCTATCTGCACAAAGTTCACAACTTCAAAACCATTCTTGATGGGAAAGAGGAAAAATTCGTTTAACTCCAACAGCAATTTGTGCATATATGCCATATTTCGAGCCCTAAATAAGCGGAACAAAATCTTGCACATTTCGAAACCTAATATCAAGGTCAAAAGTATTCCCAACAAAAATCAAACCCGTGCCCAACAACCGGAAAGAAGAAAAAAAACAAACACCACGCAGACAAGATTACAAATTGACCCACCAGTATCGAACCGACTTGCAGCGAGCGCACCGGGTGGTGGTGGGGGAATAGCAGATGGCGCACTGATAGCCCCGGGGGGCCGCGAACGCCCCGTACCCGACGGAGGCCTCGAGCTCGGCCCTCGCGGCCTCCTCCGAGGCCAGCACGAGCAGCCGCTTGATCTCGCGGCTCCGCTCCACCGACTGCCGCCACTTCCTCCGGATCAAGAACCCGATCAGCGGGACCACCCAGCAGGCGCAGAGGGCGAGCCCCTGGGCGAGCCCTAGATCCCGCACCGCCACCATCTATCGCCCTCACCCCGCACCGATAGCGCATGCGGCGAAACCCCGAAGCCCCAGCCCCCTAATCGCGCGGAAACGCATGGGTTCTCCCCCACCCGCCCCCGCCCCCGCGAATCGCCCCCCAAAATCCAGCGAGCGAGCGAGCAAGCCGGGCGCCGATCAATGCCGAGGAGCGACGCGGGACGGCGGGGATCGAATTCGGAGGAGATTCGCAGCAATGCTTTTGGGCCTCGTCTTCGCGAGCTGAAGAAGGAGGAGGAGGAGGGGAAGTGAGAGGCTCGCAAGTCCCAAGCTGAGGTTCGCGGATTCGGACAGAGGAGAGAGAAAAAACTCGCTGCGGAAGTCGAGAATTTTAGGGATTTTCTGAGGCTGTTCGTTTTCCAGGGAGAGAGAGAGAGAGTGAGAGAGAGAGAGAGATAGAGACGGAGGGAGAAGAGAAGTCCGTGTGAAGGCGGAGAGAATAATTTCCGTTCCGGTAAACAAAAATCGAAATATTTCCTTTATTATTATTGTTATTATTGTTGTTTTCTTGCTTTTCCCTATTTTCGGGTACGCTTTTTTGATTTATATTCGGGACGTTATAAGCTAGGAAGCATGGACACTCCCGGGGGCCTCCGCGCGACACGCGTCCGACACTCTTTATTTATTTATTTGTGATTTTGAATCAAATTAATTTAATTGAAATATTCATAAAAATAATAATTTATTGTATATATAAATATATATTAAATATACAACGTGTCGAATTTTTCTATTTTTTGAGAAATAACGTGTCGACATGTCGTGCGTTGGTGCCACTTAGTAAGCAATCGCGGGGCGAGGGGAAAGGAATTTTTCGGGCCGTGGAATTCCTCATGGGCCGGTCAGCTCCGGTTCGTTTGGACCGGCAATTTGTCGTTTCTCGTTTCGATTTTTCTTCTTCTTTTTTTTCTCTTTCCCGGGCAATTTTTCTTCCCTTCCCTCGCTTTTGAGAACGGGAAAATCAACTAAATAGCCATGATTCCTAATTTTCTTTTTGTTTTTTTGAGTTAATACCACGAAAAACCTCGAATTGGTACACTTGTGACAAATTTATACTAAATCGGTACATCTGTGACAAATTTACCATAAATTAATTTTTTTACCACAAAAAACCTTAAACCGGTACATTTGTGATAAATTTACCTTCTGTTAAATTGGATTGATACTACGAAAAATCACAAGTTGGTACACATGTGACAAATGGAGGGTAAAACCCCAAACTGATACATCCGTCAACTGTTACGTGTCATCCAACTCAAAAATTCGACGGTAAAATTTAATAGAAACTAACGGAGGGTAAAATTGTCACAAGTGTATTAATTTGAGATTTTCGGTGGTCAAAAAATCAGTTTAAGATAAATTTGTCATAAATACATCTGTTTGAGATTTTTGGTGGCATTAATCCTTTTTTTTTTCCTCCTATTTTTTTCCCTCTGTTATAAATGTAGTTTTAAAGTTGGCGAGCGAAAGAGGATGGGATTTAGCATCGCCTCTTTGCGTCCTCGGGGCGAAACGATGTGGTTTCGTCGATTCGTTAGATGGGATAATCAGAGTTAAATTTTTTAGAAATCACGACTTTTCCCGTTGAAGTCGTGAGTTAGGGATACAAAAGAAAGCGAGTTGGATGATACGAAGAACTTCAATTTTGTTCTTTTTTAAATCGCGGGTTGTCCTATTTTTATTTGAAAGAATGTCATTGCTGGAGAGCAAAAAGATGGCCACTCGCAATCATCATTTGCATGCTTAAAGGAAGATGATCTGATTACAGGGAAATGATTCGAGTCTGCTTTTCAAGAAATTTGAGTTTTCGGGGGTGTTTGGTTGGGCTTTGTGAAGGAGCTTTGAGCCTCCAAAGCCCTTTGGGAGAATTATGGAGTGTTTGGCAAATTATTTTTGGGACTCTTTGGCCAAATGTTGGCCTTCTCAAGGCTGAAGCTCAAGGCACCCTCAGCATTCTCGGAATGCTAATACCCAAATTAATGAAAATATGTTAATTGCCTTTTTTGCCCTTAAAATTTGTCTAAAAGCCCACTTTTGCCCCTCGTGTGTACTGTTCATCTTCTTCTTCGTGAGGTGGCCGGCAAGGGGAGGCCGGCGAGGCGGCCTGGCCCGGATCGGGCCAAGAAGAGGCCGGCGGCCATCGCCCGAGGCCGGCGACCCTCGGTGAGGGTCACGGGACCCAGGCGGCTGCCGCCTAGGTCGCGCGACCCAGGCGACGGCCGCCTGAGGTCTCGCGACATAGGCGGCCGCTTGGGTCCCGCGACCTCGCCGAGGGTCGCCCGGCCTCGGGCGATGGCCCCAGATCTGGCCCGCCGGCGGTCGCCCGACCTCAGGCGACGGTCGCCGGCGCCAGATCTGGCTCGCCGGCGGCCGGCCGGCGCCGACTCCGGCGAAGGGTAAGTTAGGTTTTTTTATTCCCAAAGTCCATTTGCAAAAAAAATTCACTAAACACTATATTTTGGCCAAAGTAGCTTTACAAAATATTTTTACCAAACACCATTTGCATTTCCCCAATGGGCTTTCACCCAAAGGTATTTGCATTCCCCCAAGTAGCATTTTCAAAGTTGAACCAAACAGGCCATTCTTCGGCGTAGAATAGCCATATTTTCATCCTCAAATTAAATGGCTCATTCGGTAAATATGATCGAGCTTTACGTTTTGAAAACTTAGAGTTACCGTGCATTTGACTTATTATCCAATAAATTTTTCTTACTAGTAATCGAACTACAACACATTCGGTAAAATTTTGTTAAGGAAACTGATAATCTGATAATATATATAATAATGTTAGATTTAACATAATATTTCAATCGATGTCGTACGATGATAAACACTACGAACAAAATTTAGGGTTGGCAAACGCGTGAATGCATGAATTTGCATGGTCATGCACGAATGCTAAATGCAACGTGCATTCAAAAATCAAAATACTCTAGGGCTAGCTATCGAGATCAACGGGAGCAATGGCTATATCAATTATTACATAACTAGAGCTGCATGATGGAGATTGACTCGTCGTGTACTTCACTTGACCTATTCAGTCAAATATCTCCGTAGCAACATGATTCTACCTATATTCTGTTTATTCACTTAATAATTACCTAGCCAAATTATTATAATTCGATCACGTTTTTTTTTTCTCGAGGTGCATCGATGATCGCGACCGCTAGTGAGTTACCAAAAAAGAGTAAATTTTCACATAAGTGGAGGAAGACATCATGTGAAAAAGCATTGTGACGAGTTGAAGAAAATGGAATAGCATAAATTGGAAATCTACATAGGAGTGAGCATTAAATATAATATGTGGAGAATTAAGATATTGATTTTATCCCAAGGTCAATTTAATGTTCTGAATTTGGCGACGCCCTAGATGGATCAAACACGCAATTGAAATTAACAGGACTTTCGGCTAAGTCTAGAACAGAAAAGTAGGGAATATTATCAGAAAAAAAGTCATAAATTTATTTGCACTTGTGCCAATTCAGATATGAATATTTCAATTATGTCAATTCAGTCCTAAATTTTTTGACGATTTATCAATATAGTTCTTCCGGCCAATTTCAACCGAAAAACAGTGACGTTGCAGTCCAGTTTTTGCCAGTAGTCCTATGTGAGGCGGCTGGTGCTGACGTGAGCGATTTTTTTCGAATTTTTCTAAATTTTTTTCTTTTTTATTCTTATCCTTTTCGTCGGTGGCCGGTCTCAAGCGAAGGCTGGGCGAGGGTTGCCCTTGCCCGATCTGCAAGGGCCGCCCTTGTTGGCCACAAGCAAGGGATTGCCTTGCCCGGCGAGGGCCGTCCTCGTCGATCACAATAAAGAGAAAGAATTTGAAAATTAAAAAAATCTAGAAAAATATTTAAAAAGTTACAAAACTGTCTACTTCAGCACTAATGATGCCACATAGAACGACCAGCATCCATGTTAGCGAGTTTCGATCAAAATTGGCCGGATATATTACATTAGCAAATTGTCAAGAGGTTTAGGACTAAATTGGCCAAATTGAAATTTTCAAGACTGAATTGGCAGAATTATAATAAATTTATGACTTGTTTTTTTGCCAAATTTTCGCGAGAAAAAGTACGGTCCATAGGATTAGCTAAACCACATCTGTCCCGCATTAAAGTCTTATATTAAGCGTAAAAATCCATGCGCATGTGATGTAATCACATTATTCTGACACAAACAAAGAGAATAAAAATAAAATAAACAAGGACATTTTCCGACCCACGAAATTAAAATAAAAGAAGAAAAAAACTGAAGATGTGTGTACGTATATGTGCATGTGATCATTCTGTCACTCCATCCAATCACTCTCGTGCTCTCCCTTTCGCTAGAACTGGAATTTATAGCGAGATCTGAATCCGCATGGCCGCTTCCGATCTTGATCCCGTCATGATTGAGATCCACGCATCATCCTTAATTAATCACGCCAACATAATTTCATCCCCCCCAAAAAAAAGAGAATAATGTCAACAAAGCCCCCCAGAAAATTCAATTTTTCAAAGTTTTGAATATAAACATTTCAAGGAAAAAAATGGCGTTGACAAATATTGTAGGGACACCCTTTAAACGGGAAAATTATCCTAAAAGTCTTAAACCTATTGTATGAATACATTAGTCACAAACTTTTTAATTATGCAAATTCAGTTATAATCATTTTGACGATTTGATAATTTAGTCTTAAACTATTCAATTGTTTCATTTTGTTCAAACCTTTTGATTATTTGCCAATATAGTCCTTCCGACCAAATATCCAAATAATAATTTTATAAATTGGCAAATATTCAAAATGTTAAGGACTAAAATGACACAATTGAAAGGTCCATGACTAAATTGGCACAAAAGATTTAGGCTTAAATTTGCACAATTGAAAAGTTTATAACTAAATTGATCGCTGTATGATAAGTTTAAGACTTTTTGGACAATTATCGCCTTCTAAACCAAACTAGCTATTCTTAATTATAATTCTAGTCTCGTACAAAGTTTTTAATTGTAAATGTTATTGTTATTATTGCCATCATATCTAAATATGTAAATATGTCATTGTCATATTGCATGTTTAACTTCTTT